CGATATTACAAAAAAAGGAAGAAAAAAAAGGAAGAAAGTATGATTATGCATGGACCTGCACTTCATCTTCCATGTCAAGTTGAAGGAAAGAACAGAAATTCCACCTGACACTGTCCATATATCAAGTGCACCCTCTGGCACTGGACTAGCCCCACCTTCTTTCACCCCTTTCAAAATCACACACTCTGTATCAGGAAGCATTTGCTTTTGGAGACTGAGTAGGGGAGGGATGATGCCACAGATCTGCTCTTTGCCTCATACTCTTGGCTCAGTGCCTGATCTTGCCCAATTAGACAAATATCAGGATCAGACCTTTGGCCTGGAGCATCTGTGCTGATGAGAACTTCAGGGATTAGTCACAGTATTGAAATGAATACTCCCACCTCCCAGGAAAAGTCCAGAATGTGTCTGCTGTGCACTGCTCTACGCTGGGGAAACTGAGGAGCTGTGCCTTTCTCAGAGATGAAGCTGTGAAAGGTACCAGGCATGAATGTGAGACAGGCGCATTCCATGCGCCTCAGCACAGAGGGGCAGGGGCATGTTAAATCAACATGGGGACTGTCTGTCTCTTCTATTTCCCTTAGAATTTTGTCACGCAGCCTCAGCCTGGCTGAAAGGGAGTATGCCTATGGAAAAATATCCCAACAGTATCTTTAAAAAAGGACCAAACTAATGAGTGCATGTATACCCAGGCAACAGCTCACCACTGAGCCTTCTCTCTGGCACTAGTGTGTCCTCTTCGTTATACTCTTCTTTTCAATTGCCCATGGAAAAATGGGTAGAAGAGGTAAACAGAGACATCTGTCCACATCCATTTCTAACCAACACAATCTCCTACTCAGTGGTGGGGGAGAGAATAGCTCCTGACAGTGAATCAGAGCTCAGGGGAGGCAGACAAGAGGTGGCTTTGGTCTAGGGAAGAAGGCGGCTGTGACTCAAACACTGAGTACCGATGAGCTGCAGCACTTCCCAACCTAACTAAAGGGGATTTTGCTTCCAAACCAGTTTGCTGTGGTCCATGTGGTGCACACTGTGGCTACACTAAGCTAAACAAGGAGGTGAGAAGTGGGATCTCCCCTCAGAGACAGCAAATTTTCAGAATGCTTAAACTTAATTTCCTTCCCACAGTATTTTTCAGTTGTAGATTTAGAAATTGGAAAAAAATCCAACCCAAAATGGCCAACATCAATCATAAGATGCAATAAAATATTCATTATATACAATATCACGGTGAAGCCTCGACATGCCTGTGAGACCATAAAGTACCAAGGGCAACAGTTTGTGCTACATGCACTAGTAAATAAATGAGAACTCCACACAAGAATAAAAGGTTGCACACAGCTGATTTACATTTCTAGGGTAACAGTTCATTGGGTAATAAAACTTTCAATTGGAATGGGGTGGCAGTGGATAAACTTGCAGCAAACCTTGTAAGCAGTGTACAGCAGCACAATGTAATCACTGTACTGTGTAAAAAGAATTCATACATACCCACTGGTGCCTCTTAAGCATCTGTCTGTCATGTCTGAAAGATGTACTTTTGTTTTGATTTACCAGGGTCTAATATTGCCTACAATAGTTCTAAAGTTCACTCACTATTTTGGTCTGATCAGTGGGAGATGATTTACAGATGTATCTAAACAAATTGGCAGAAAACATCTGTTTCTGCTTCAAAGCTGACAACAATGTTATTAACATTACTGTATTACAAAACTAGTTTACTTGATGCATTTAGAATAAATGGAGCTTTTACTAGGAGGGTAGTGGGCTGCTACAACTTCATTTTTAAAATCAGCCACAAAACAGCCTGGCATGAAGGAAAACTCAGCACACAAAGTTCCTCTTCTCTCTGCAGTGTAGATGGAGCATTTCATTAACACTTATCTGTCCGGGTATAATTCTGATAGGAAAGCTAGGAGTGAAGCTCCACCACGACACTAGTACAGAGTACAAAAACAAAGGAAAGTGCCATATTATTCACAAACTAATATTCTAACAGTGTAAGTATGCTTGCAGTGCATTTCTTACTCTGCTCTACTGAAATCAAAGAGAGTTTTCCTATTGGCTTGAACAGCATTGCCTTTTCCCTCAAGGCACTCAGCACCATGAAGGATATAGATCTTCTCAGTTCTGCACGGGAAATTCAGCATCAGCCATTTATACAAAAGTAACAGCATGAACACCATAAATAGTGAAATAATTTATGCTATCAGTCAACTTCCCTGAGAGCTTCTTGCTGCTTTCTGCTGGTCATTATGTGGAGAGATTTCACCTCTTTCAGTCCATTCACTCCCTGCACCCTTGCCAACAACAATCATTGTTTCAGTAACTGACATCCTCTCAACCTGTGCAGCAATATCCTGTCCATCCAGCAGGTTGGGGCAAGCTAGAAGGATTCAGCTGCTTGGGCAGTGTTTTCTCGATGCTGAGAAGCAGCCCAAGCATAAATAAATTGATTGGGTGTAATCTACAGGCTACCGGTGTAACTGTGATCCCATGTCATATGACCTTATAACTTCAGAACCAACTGTGTTTGTCTGTTCTTATTAATGCAAAAAGACTGTGAAGCAGATTTCAATCTTCAGAAGGAAGACAGGCTTTCTAGAAAGATTTATGAAACCCTCTGAATAGAGTAAAAACATATCATGGGGCTTTCATTCCACAGACTTTGCTCCCAGTATATCAAAATATATCACCCAAACTTAAGAAAGTGATAGAAGGCATCAGCATTATGCCATCAGCAGGGCAGTTAACAAATGTGTGATGCAATTTGGCTGAATGTACAGTTTATGCCTGTTTGTTACAGTCTCTCTTTAATACTCCCAGAGCTATACTTTCTGAATACATGCTGTAAAAGACAAGTAGTATTTTTTCTCATTTCATATAAATTAATACTTTGGTTTCTGCTCTTCGGCTATATTTAGCATTTGGAAAGCTTTTAAATATGTATTACATGATACTGAGTGTGTATATTAAGACATCAGCTTCCTTTCCCTTACATTTGTATGAGTGCTTGCATGTTTTTCTTGTGAACCACATTGCAGCTAGACCCTTTGTAACTTGAAGCTAAACCTAGTAACATCATCCACTGCAGCAGCAAAATATTTTCCCTGTAGAGTAGGATACAATGATGATGACATAATGCTGTGGTTCCCAAATCTCAAGCCAGCTGTTACTAGTATATGCATTCAAATTCACTGTTCTCGTGTAAAAGGGGCAAAAGCCTGGGACTTGATATATAATTCTGGGACTGAGCTTATGCATGGCTTCACCCATAGAGTGAGGAAATGTGATTCAGGCAGTTTCCTACTGTAAAGTAACTGAGAGTGTACTTCCACTCGCCCAGAAACAGTAGTTATTTCCTGCCAACTAACATGGGATCTGCTATCCAATTTCGGACTGAAGGAGCAAATAACAGCTGCCAACTTTTGGTAATTACTTATTCTCCCTGTCAGATATTCATACTAATTCCTTCATCTGCTGCAGATGAACATAGCAGGGCATCACTCCCATAACCTAGACTGCACTGAGCAACACAGTACATATACAAGTACTACTAGGTGTATTATATTGGGAATTGTAGATAAATAAGGGTAATAAAATGCTGAAATGCTTGTAGATCCTGCAAGAAGCTAAATTCCTTCTGTGTTTTCTTCTCATGAATATTTGAGAATATTAACTCAATAAATGAAGGTCAAAGTCGTTTCTCAACATCAAGTTGAAAGTAGAGAATACCACAGAAGCAACTTGAGACCTACGAGAAAGCTTTTTCCTCTACAGTAAGTTGCTTTGATGGAGTACAAAATCCACCTCTCCTTAAATCACTAATTTGCAAGCCAGCATCTGTCTACATCAGTTGATAGCCTTGCTTTAAACCCAGACTAAGTCAGATCTCTCAAATTCTTAACTAATCCCCACCTTCTGTATTATGTTATCGCAGCAATTTGATTCCACCGTTACAGTATTCATTTACCCAGAGCAAAGCTAAAGTGAATATCCTGAATTTTAGCAGGCAAAAATACTTCCCCAGTGTAATGCCATTATCCTGATACATCAGGAATGAATTTAACCTACTAAAGTCTTGCACAACACTATCAGTGAGGGCAATATCTACTCAAGTTATGTTGTCTTCCTTTGTAGATTGACGTCACTTGTAATCAAGCATTTAATTATGTGCCACTTTCCTTAAGCATACAGGTAGGCAGAGAAATAAAGAAATGAACTGTAGAATAAAATGTCCAAATCTTCCAAAATTCGAGGACTTCTCAAAAAAATGAAGAAAAACTTGAATTCTTTAGAGGGGAGATACATCCTTGCACTGAATGTGAATCATGAATCACTGCATATGTTGCAGCCAATTGCTAATCAATCCATACAGTTAGAGTAACATCGAACAATCCTGCATCTGCAACCATCCATATGAAACAAGCCTACAGAAGTCATGAAAGATCATTGCCAGTCCTACTGCTGTGACAGGCTGATTTATTAAGCTTTGAAATTGTCTTGATGTAAACAAAAAATTTATCAGGCTAACCCAGAACAGGAATACCTTAGAAAAATAAAAGGGTTGTACAGAGCTAATGCAGATGTGCCCTTCTTCTGTAGCTCTGCTTCTTTAACTAGAAAGGCTACCAACAGTCACTATAGGCATTTGTAGAAGCCAGAAAGAGAGGTTGGTGAGAAAAAAAAACAATGAAAAAACAAACCACAGGCTATTCCAAAATTTATCTTTAGGAAATTACAACAATTCTATAAAGTCTGCTTAACCACAGACCCTATCAGATCCAGGAAAGCTCCTCCTATGCCAGGATGCTTCCCACACATGGAGGGAGTTTTACTTGGTACAATCTGGTCAGTCATTTAGAAGTAGAGCTTTAACATTTTAAATGAATAAGTCTGAAACAACAATCATAAGAGCAAGGAAGATGACAATGTAATGATTGCTGGTAGAGTAAGAACATAGCATTAATAACGCTGCTGCAAAAAGTATGTACTCTCACCCAGATAGGAAACTCCTTCTTCTGGTGTGATTGTTCCATATTTAACCATCATCTTCACAAAATCAATCAGGGTTTTCATGATGGTTATTAAAGTCTCTTTCTCTTTTGTCTCTGTCTCTGCATGAGGGGATAAAGCAGAAGTAGTTCAGAAAGCAGGTGGGCAGATAAAAGCTACTTAGACTGATCTGGCTCTGTATCACAAACAATTCAGAGATCATTTGGTTCACTAGCAAACATCTCAAATGACAGTGCACAAGATCATGACTAAGGTACTGGGAAAACAGGTAATATTATATGTTTGGGAAGACTGTGACTTCAGAATAGGACATAAACAACTTTTTACATGATAAAAATTGATGTTTGTTGAACATACTATTTCTGACTATCCTCCTGATCATAGATTCTTAGCTTTCTGTTTCTACTGCATCTGTTGAGCAACATTACTGCCATTTCTGCATTAGCAGCATAACACTCTCCCAACACATTGTTATACAAGCAGCTTCTGCATCTTAGGTTGTCACTGAAAGATCCAACAGAGCCAGGTGCTCTGTTAGACAGAGATAGTCAGAAACATACTCTCAGACTTGGCAGAGGACCAATTTCATTGGAGAGCTACTGAACAGGTCTTCATATTGGTCTCTGCAATTTAACACAAGTCTGTAGGTTGCAACTGAATCTCCTCACCTCCAGCTTGTTAAAAGTTGGCATGTGAATAGGATAAAGCAGGAGACAAGGCAGAGATGTGTAGTCAGTGGAACCCAGTTCTGTTTGCTTGATAACCTTTTAAACTCAACATGCTTTTCTGCTTTGTGAATAGAAAAAGGGGAAGGAAAAGCATGCAAAACTACTAAGGGAAAATAAAAAAGAACAAGGAGAATATGAGGTTTCTAGACTGGATTTCAGCAAAATATGCCTTTGGGTTTTTCATTCTACTTCTCCATTCAAGCGTTTATAGGGACAGTCTCAGGAAAGACTAAGGCTCCTGCAGGACAAAGGATCTACAGAATAAATTGCTGCTGACTGTGCCGAAGGTATGCTGGCTAAGAGAGTAAGGGCTGGTGTGTGGTGGAGCATGCTGACAAAGCGACTGTGGCAGAGTGCCACAATCTTGCCTGCACTAATTGGAAGGCAATAATGCCTAGCACCGGAATATGAAGAGACATGCAGAGCTTTCATTGCAATAAACATCAAACCTGTGGTTTGTGAAAAGGCTGGGAGGCTCAGACTTATTTACTGGTAGCATGACTGCAAGAATTCTACCCTGACTTGCTTGTATTTCTGTTGGCATAGAAGACAAGGGCATTACGGGAAAGATCAAAGGAGAAGACAGTTTTCCAGTTTTTCATCATGCCATTACAAGAATTGAAAGAGTTTAGGATTCCTGAATCGCGTGTCTAAAGACAGGATGGAATACACAGGTATCGTGTCATGCAGTTTGAGTACTATTGCTCCCAATGTTTTGCCATACAAAATGAGTTTCTGGTATGTAACTTAGAGAACATTTTTATAATGTGGTCTCTTGCAACTAGGGGAGTCGTGGATAATACAGGGTAGAAGTACAGGAGAAAACAGGAAATCTAAGCGCTCCAATGGGATGATAATAGCGGGGCGGCAAAGTCTTTAGCTACAGCAGATGAGAATGAGCCCAAATACAGCTGCCACAGATGCAGAAATGAAGGAAAAGACCTGCTTATCTTAAGTAGGCAGGGATTTCCAGCAAGAGAGGCTCTTGCTTCTAACGACAACCCTTAAATGTGGTGCGGGAAGGGGTGAATCCTGGCTGCACCCCTTCCAGTCATTCAGGTGCACTGAATTGCATGCACCTGAGTTCCCCTGGGTTGGCTCTGCTTTTCCACCAGGGGTTCAATCATTGGATCAAACTGTTTACGTAGCATTTCCACTACACTCAGTTTCCTAGTTTTTCCCCAGATATGACTGTAACACATGACAAACTCACCTGAGTTAAGACTTTTTAATAGTGCATAGAAGTTTGGAAAGTACTGGAGGTCTTCAAAATCATCTTCAGAAGGCAGCTCATTTCTTCTTTCCAAGATATTAGATGATGACCATGTGTTATCCAGGGTATCATCAATTTCCCCATTGATGAAACTATCCTGATCAGATTTGCTTGATGTCTCCACAACACACATAAAAATAAATAAATCTGTAAGCACGTTGCTTTAAGTGATAGTAAATGGAGTAATGAATAGCATCATAATTATATACTGACGTTTCCCAGGTGAAAATGAGATTTTTTTCCTCAAACTTATTTCAATTTGGGATTCGGCTTTACAATTCAATGTAATTCACTATTTGTTTTTGTCTCATATTATTTCTTTCTGAACATTCTGCTATTTATCGGCTAAAGCAAAGCAGTCTGTTGGACAATTTGTATTGTTTGGTGAGTGAGTCCAAATTATTAGCTAAGTAATTACCAATTTTTCCTGTTGCTTTTCCTTTGAATCACTGTCTGCTCTGCTTGGAGGGTAATCAAAATCTTCAGGCTCATTCTCACGATCCTTTGCTTCATTTGCAATTAGCTGTTGTAAAACCTCTGCCACTTCATCTTCCAGAGTATAGGCCTGACTCTCCGTGATCTGTTAAAACATTTGTGCAGAGCACTTATAGAGCATTGCAGTTTTCTTAGAATTAAGGTCAACACGAAACCCGAACTTTTAAAACAAGTTGCTTTGAATCTGTTTGTTTCAAAGCTGAGCATAGCCAAATTAGGTGTAATAACTTCTCTGTTGTACATGTGTGTATACGTACATGCAATATAAAGGCATGGGCATATGCCTATATATAAACGTATCTATATGTATGCATATACAAACACATATCGAATATATGTACATACATACAAACTCCTACCTACACATACAGCCTCCAAGAGGAAAACGTAACCCTGTAGGAGTTAGAGCAGTGGAGTCCAGCTTGAAGAACTGCCTGTTTAGTATACCAAAGTATATACATACAGAGCTCTGCAACTGCGTATGTATTTTTGAATAACAACAACAGAATATGGTAATATAGAAAGGAAAAATGCAAATAGCTTTCTAGGTCATCTTCAAAATGTTTTTTTTTCTGTGCTTTGTAACAGCTGTCACTTGAAAGACAACATTTTAATGTAGCTGTCCCTACATGCCTTCCTTTGTAATCAATAATCAGCAACAGCTGATTGCAAAATCTCATGCAGAAAGTATAAGAAAATATAAGCAGATTAAAATATAAGGATTCCATATCACAGTGGCTAAAACCATACAGACATCCAGAAATTAAAGTCAAAGTTAGCCTCGGTACAAATCAGCAACAATGAGAAATGTACTCTCAGCTAATCAGCATGGTCACATGTCCACTGATTGAAATAATTAGTAGGTGGGCAGGAATGAGCTCAGACCTTTCTCCATAAATATCCAAAAGTAATAGAAAATAATGAAAAGAGATATTTTACAAGGAAAACATTAGGGCGGATATGGGAGGAGTAGAACTGGTGTTTTCTCCTCATCAGAAACATTCTGCAGTTTGGCATATTGTGTTGCAAAGCCAACCCAAGAATATCAGTGATGTTGCAGACATAAACTGATGTGCCCAAATAGTCAAAGAGCTTGCCTTGAGTCTAAACCTCATTAGTTTTCTCTCAGGTTCACAGGACACAGAGTTTGTGCCATCTGTTATTTTAAAAGAGCACCAAAGCATCCCACAAGACAGCTACGTGAAACATGAACAAGACACTTACAAGCCCCAGATTGAGAAGTTTGGAAACGATCTTGTCAAACACTCCTCTATCGTTTTCCTCATAAATCCTTGTAGCAATTTTTTGAACAATGTCTTCAGCAGTCAAGGGAGTGCCATCTAATTGATGAAGGCCATCTGGATCATCTAAAAGGATTACAGTTTAACTGTGTGCTAACTGTCCTAACTCATTTGGATTAGACTTCTTGCAAAAATGTTTGCCTGTATTTTTTTTTCCTTCTTCAGAACAAAGCCATGTTCATTAAAACACATTAAGAATACTCTTTGCTACACACTTTGCAATGCATTACATCAGTATTAAAGAAATGTTGTTCAGTTCTATTTAGTACAGCTGGAAAGTACCTTTAAGACTGGCTCTTTTGAAAGAGCACAGAAAAGAGTCAGGAACAAATCATAAGAAAATCTGTAAGAATGAGAGAATAATGTTCACCCATAGATACCAAATAATATGCATAATAAGCAGCATATTACAGTCTTATTTGATTTAAGCAAGTTAAATTTTAATCATTTAATCATTACTTATGGAAAATAATATCATCATGACCACTGAGAAAGTGAATGCGATGAGTAAGCTTTGACCTGTGATTAGCACACCTTGATATAATTAAAAACACTTGAACTAAATGCTTCTCCCAACTCTCAGAGGACTCACTTAAACTACAAGTTAATTATCTACTCCTATAGTAAAGGCACATTTCTTTGGCCTTCCCTAGCTGCTTTTAGCTATGTTGAGGAGAATCATTTAACAGACTTAACATTTGTAATGAGTGTATACAATTTAGCTCTATATAACAGTGGTTTTCCTTTTCAAACCAGAATAATTATATTTTCATTTAAAAATACGTCCCATTTTTCCCCCCATCAGATCTAAAGCTCTAAAAAACTTAATGTAAATTACATTTGGATTTTCCTCCACAGAAGAAGACTGTAATAATCAACAGTAGCAATACTTTTGTATTGTGTTTCAAAGCTAAATTGCAATATGACAAGCTTCTACAACTGGAAATAACTGCAATTTCACTGCTGCAATGAATAGAACTCATAGTTAGTGATGAACACAGTATCTCTGACTGTAATCAGTTTGCAAGAGAAATCTAACCAAAAAATTACTTAAAGATTTACAGAATACCTTGGAATTTATAATCCAGCCCACTTTTAGTAGAGTCGTAGTCATCCACGAGCCTGCGGTTCTTGGTGGAGTCTGCATCATCAATGGCCAATTGCTGCTCGTACAAAGAGCTTCTAATTGACTCCCTCTCTTTTTCATTCCTCTCTCTTTCTGCTACTGACTTTAGCAGGTTCAAGTCATCAACAAAGGAATAATTCCTGAACTCTGGCTTATTTTCTGGAAAATACATACAACATGGAATCTTATACCTCTTTGAATACCATTATGAAGAACAACAAAGGATAGAGAGGTGTTTTACCTGTGGGAGCTATCTTCCTATTCTTGTCTGCCTCAGCTTCAGCAATCTGATATTGAAAAAAAAAATAAAAATTAAAAAGCAGGCAGAAGGAGTCAAATAGACTAAAATGTATGATATCTTACTTTATCAATAGCAGCCAAAGCCTTAATGCCTGATCTTCATTCTTACTATGAATTTGGCTTAATGCATTGTACACATTTAAGCTCTCGGCATTTCTTAGCAGTACCAACACAGCCCCTGACTAGAATCAGATAAAGCAAGAGACTGCACAGACTTTCAACGTTAGGGCAAATCCATTTTTAACCCAAGCTCTGAGTGTGCTCCCCTAGCATTTGAACACCAGGGAGTTCCTCACATGTGAGCTGTTGGAGCTGATGACCTGCTTTTTATATATATACGTATATATTATTATTTATTAAAATTCTGAAAAATTATTGAAAATCTCATTTGTACCTAAAATACAGCAGTATTTACTGACGAATCTACTTGTTCGTCATTTGCTAAGCCAGCAGGATATTCATGCATATTTCATCTGAGTGCTCAAAAGGTTATGAGAATACAAACAACAGAAAACAATTAGAATATTTTTAATATTACATACCTGTTCCTCCAAAGGTCTTTCTACACTTAATTGCCTGTTGTGCATAGCTTTATCTAGAATAAAGAAGTATATTCAGTTACATGATGCACATGAATACAGGGAGGCAGCACAGTTTTTTCTTGATTTCTACTTTTCTCACATGAAACCTGGTATGTTAAATACGATGCCAACTGCAAGTTCTCATAAAAATGTCTTGGAGAGCAAGAATAATAAAAGTCAAACATTTAAAGAAGGCATGATTGATTGGAGCAGAGGGAGAGGTTCTGAAAATGAGGTAACAGAAACACAGTAACCCCCTTCTGATGAGAAAACATAAGGAAATTGGGGGAGGAACGCAGTAAGAGATTGACTAAAATAGCAATAATCGGATTGGCACAAGCAAGAGCTTAGAAGTCTGATAATCCAGAGCGTCGGGAGGACGGCGAGCGAGAGCTGGGCACCGCCGCGAGCAGAGCGCCTCAACTCCACGCCGCTCCACCTCTCTCCGCTTCGGTATCACACCGCAACTCCAGCGACACACTGCTTTGCGCCTCCAAAGATATTCCTTAGGATCTAACCGCTTTTAGACACGCGAGGGGAAAGTTTCTGCTTTCCTCCACCGATACCCCGCAAAACTTTCCTCATCTCGGAGACAACGGGTTCGCAAAGAGGCTTACCTCTGCCCGCGGGCTTCGGGAAGCCGTGCGCCCGGCTCGCCAACAGCGACAGCACCTGCAGCGTGACCGCCAGCTTGAGAAGCATCCTGCAGCCGCCCAGCCCCGGGGCCAGCCCGGCTGGGGTCCCGCCCGCACCGCACCGCACCGCACCGCACCGCACCGCACCGCACCGCACCGCACCGCCCTGCCCCGGCCGCCGCTCAGCGCCGCGGAGCCGCCGCTCTCCGGGCGCTGTCCAGCGCCGCGGTGCTGAAGCCGCAGGAGCTGCTCCGGCAGAACTCGGCCCCGCTTTCTCCTCGCCCCGCGCCCGCGGAAATGGTGGAGGCCGCCCCGCAGCCCGCCCGGCCGGGGGAGGAGACGGGGGAGGGCTGCGCCGGCGGAGCATGCGCGGCCCGCAAGGCGCTTGGGGGGCGGCAGCCGCAGTCACTGGCTGCCCCTGCCCGCTGCCGGCGCGGGGTTGGAGGCCTCCGAGTGGGGCGGTGTGCCGAACACCAGGGTACGCGAGCCAGAAAATGGGGTGGGGTGGGGTGGCCTGCCCTGCCCACCTTTTGAACAGTTGAAGGCTTCGGAACAGGCCACCGGCAAACCCGATCAGCTGGGCCACAGAGATGGGGAGGTTTTGATGTGTCAAACGGGAAATGCTGAGCTGCAAAGCATGAAAGGGAAACCTGGTCCTGTGCTGAAGGCCAAGGAATCACATACATACCAACCCTTTCCAAGGGCTCAGCGGCAGAGAAAACACACAGCCATCAATGAATCTTCACTACAAAGACAACATCAGAAGTTTAAATGTAGCACATCTAGTTCTGTCAAATTTAAAATTAAAAAAACAGATGGCAATAAGCACATAGGCTAATTCTGAACATTTCCATAAATGAAAATGTATCCCTCTGAGGCACAGAGGAGCAGCAAATCCCCAGAGACCTGGGGAAGACATTTTCCCATTTTACAGAAGAACAAAGGATCACAGCGGTGCTTTTCAGAAGCGCAGGATCTGCTTCCAGCATGGAAGATAAACAACGGCAGTCTTCCTTCAAAAAAGATCTTTTCACTTTGTAGTCATAAAGGGGTCAGCTGAAAACATTTTAACTGAGGAATCTCAGAGTACCACAGTACTTAGTGCAGTGACTGCTAAAAAATAGCTAAAACTGGCTATGTGAAGACATGAAGGGGATCAGTGCTCATATAACTGGAATCCAAGACCATTCAGTCTCTTATGATATTATTATAGTATAAGCTGGGAAAAACAACGGTTAGGAGAATGACCAGTAGTTGTACAAAAGAAAAAAAAGAAAAACAACAACAACTAGAAAACATTGCAATTTCTTTCTTTTCCTGCTAGCAACCACTATACTTAATACTCCTGTCTTTCCATATTTACATTAAATACTGGCAAGATCTGATGCTCTAGGTTATGTCAGGATTGCTTCATTAAATTGATGAGCAATAGAGGAAAGAAAGTAACTTTCAATCCTCAACTATAATATAGCTTCTATCTGTGAAGCTGTTCCAGAGTTAGAAATTATAGGGAATTTTAGATAAAAACATTTCAAGCATGGTTGTATATAAAAATAATTTAAAAAAAGCCTAATGTACACATTGCCTGACAACTTACAGGGAAAATTATTACATTAAACAGATTCTTTTTCTTCCTTTTAGGAGCACAGAAAAGAAGCAGAATCCAGAAGAAAGTAGTGTCTTCATACTCTGCCATCTTAATCATGTTTATATACATCAGCAGAAATCCTGAATAACTGAAAAATGAAAACATCATTTCTCGCTTTAATGTGGTTTGACTTTCTATCTCAGCTTTGTATTAATTCAATAGTTCATTGCCTATCAGATGGTCTCAAGAGTTAAAAAAAAAAAAAAAAAAACTTTCTCTTTGTTTACTCTTTCTGACATTTATTTCTATCCCACTTCCAACATTTCCCACCATACATTGAAAATACACATCCATTTATAGGACCATAAACTTTAGTCATTCAGAGAAACGTCACCATGCAATACCAAAGCAGTAAATGTACTTTAAATACACAGCAATCAAGATAGCTGTAAATACATGAAGTCAGAAAAGGAACTAACATCTAGTTGATGATAATACTGCAAAAAACTTGTTGGTTAAAAATATACCTATTTGTGTCATATGTCTACATTTGGCTTTTTGTCTATAGTGATATGTCCAAATGCATCTCAATGCATGTTTTACATTATACACTTCTGTTTATGAGATAAATGTTTCTATTTCTATAATGTAGAATTTTTTTTAATGTTATCTCCCAATTCTACAATGTCTGTTATTTCCCTAGAGCTAAATCACCTTCTGCTTCACTGAGCCTCTCTAACAAGAACCAGTGCAGAACTCCGCAGCAGCTGAGAGTGACAGTGGGGTAGAGAAAGGAATTCCAAACCTGCCTTCATCGAAGCCAAGCCTAAGACTTGAGACACTCACTAATCATTTCTGCTTCAGCAGATGGTGCATAGAGGTGCATGCAGACACGCAAACGCTGAGTGCATCTGCAATGCCATGCTCTACATTTGCATATTTGACTCCTTGCTAGTGCCTTGGTGAGCTTCTATGGCATGGGACAGCAAATGATCGCTGCTAATTACAACAAAATGCATTTAATCATCATAGAAAAATGACAAGTTAAAAGTGCTGTCTTTAACTCTCGCTATATCTCTGTTTTTATTTGGCATTTACATCACGTACTGTTACACACTCCACAGTGCAGAGAAAATCCAGTGAAGCACGTAATCTCTTCTATTTTTTGGATTCTATTTTGGCTCAAGTGGAACCAGCTCATTTTCTACTCTAGATCTATTTATTTCCAGTAATGATTCACGAGCCAGAAAGAATACTACTTGCCTATCAGATGCCAAGGAGAAATTACAAGGAATGGCAATTAGAATGTTTTTATTGTGGTGAACACAGTTGATACAGAGCCTTGAGAAATAGCTGAAATGCAGCTGCTCAGTGCTATTTTTACTGTTGTTTTATAACCACACTTCAAGGCTTTCCATCTAGCTGATGAAAACAGAAAGGAGATGAAAGAAGAAAAAGCCAACAATCACTGCCAGCCCACCTTGCCAACATGGTAATATTTCCATGCTTCAGTGGATGTGCTTTCTCTGCTTTATCTCATATTATAGCAAATGATGTTCCAAGGACTCTATTGCCTAAAAGAAAAAAAAAAAAAATGGAAAAGAGCTGCTGGTGATTTTTCTGCAAGGCATCAGGAAAATCTGTAACTTCTAACAGTAAGTCATGTATTTTGCACGATGTCTGCACTATGAATAGAAGGTTTTGGGTGGGAAGGGATATCCTCAGCCACCGCACTGCTTACAGGAGAAAAGCTTTACAAAATGCCAGCATTTCAGCTTCGCCTCGTGGAAATGCCAGCTTCCAGTATCTTCACACGTGCGGAGCTCTGTTTGTTCCCGTCTGGCTTTTTTCTGGCATGAAACCATCGTATGGCTTCTCACTTCAGCGTGACTTTCTGACCAGACGTGTTTTGGGAATAGCGAAACCGTTTTTACTTGCGAGAAAGACAACTCCAGTAGTTTCCCCGCCCGTTTTAGGAGGCACTGACACAACAGACCGCAGCTCGCACCGCTTCCACGCCACTAATCTCCACGTCCCATCCCGCCTCAGCGGCCGGCGCAGCGCCCCCTGCCGGCCGACGGCGGTGTCCCACTGCGGGCGCCCCGGAAATGCGCACTGAGGTGGGCGGGGCCGCGTCCTTCGCTTCCGGTTGGGGCTCGCGGGCCGCGGCGGCGCTGCCATGAGCGACGTTGTGGAGCGCACGCTGGGCGCGCTGCCTGCGCTGCTGGGGCAGCACGAGTCGGGCGCGGGGCCGGGAGGTGCGGGCGGCCCCCACAGGCCGTCGGCTTCCTCTCGGCTCGGGAGCCTCATCCGGAACGTCACGGCGCTCACCTCCAAGCATGTACGGGCCTCTTGCTCCTCCCGGGGTCTGCGGGCCGGGCCTCTGTCTCTCTCTGAGAGCCCGAAGCGCCGCGGGCCGCTGAGGTGAGGCGGGGGGTCGCGCTGTTCGCCTCCCTCCCGCCAGACCGCCCCGGGGGCGCCTCAGGGAGAGGGGCGGGCGGTGCCCCGAGCCCGGGGCTGCGGAACCGCTGGTGACTCGGTGCAGCGAGTGCCCGGCGTCGTGCTGTTGCGTGGGGCACGGTGTGTGGGAGCGGGAACGTGGGTGATAAGAGCTGAGGCTGAAACGCGTTGTGTGGCGTTACTGCCGTGAATCAGATACGCGCTGTTTTTGAGAATATTGAGTCCTGCTATGTGAATATGCGTCCTTTGACTTTATTTTTTTAAATCGTATCTTGTCTCAAAAGATTACACAGAATTAAGGCAAGTTTAATTCTTTTTACTAGGAGGAAGAAAAATTAATCCAGCAGGAAATAACCAGTTTGAAAGCAATGGTTTCTGCCCCCACGACCCCGCTTGTAAGTTGTGCCAGTGGTTGCTTTTGTCCCGCTGTTTCCCCAGCCTCCTCTTATTGCCCAGTGGACTGACAATTTTTTACTGCATAGCTGCTCAGTTTTTGACATGAGAAAGGGCCGCTGTCAGTGGGTTTGCACTGTGGTTGAACATTTAGGGCACTGTGATTTTGTTCTTTTGCCTCAAGTATAATAATAACTTAAGTTGATGTAGTGACTGGTTAAAAAATGTGTTAGTGAGATTGTCTAACGCTTCAGATAACTCAGTAACTAATTTGGTGTTTGTTATGTGGATGGCAGTCAAAACTAGATAACGTCTTTGAGGGAGTTATCTGGAGAATTCTGCTGCTGTGCTCAGAAATCAATGTTGAGTTACATAAATGCATTCATAATGGAAAAATGAGAAATAATCTGGTGTTAAGGAACTTACGGAAATGTTTGTATGTTCCTGTTGATGACTTGAACATTGTTAGAGCAGCAAAGTATGAAGCAAGACTGAAGATCTTCAATAATTTATTTTTGTTCTTTTAGAGACTGATGAAAGAATGTATGGTGAGGCTCATCTATTGTGAAATGCTGGGATATGAGTCTTCCTTTGGATATATCCATGCAATCAAGCTTGCACAGCAAGGGAATCTTTTGGAGAAAAGAGTTGGTATGTGTACATGG